TATACTTTATTATTTGTTGATTTTCGCTTAATATAGAGTATTTCAAAAACCTTTACATCGTTTGCTTGTTAAAGACACATTTTGTAAAATAATTTTAGGCAGGAACTGAATACTTTTTATTATTAATTATAAAATATATGGTTACAATTGAATTATAAAGTACTAACAGTTTTTTGTTTTTTTTCTACCTTGTAAACTGTTCCAAAGGCCCCGGAACCGAGTATCTTGACTCTTTTAAGTTCTGTTTCCTTCAGGATGCGCAGCTGGGCTTGGTTAGGAGCTGTGCCGCTGGGCGTCAGTGGTTCCACCAACTGAAAACACAAGTCCAAAATAAAAACATTTAATCAGTAAGTGCTGAAGTTGTAATCTTGGAAACTATGTAGACATTTTAATACTTTCACAAATACAGTCATTATATAATAATGAATACACACAAACATCAGTTGGCACATCTAATTTCCCATCATGTTGAGTCGTTGCAAATAATTGAATAAAAAAACAAAAAACAGATAAACACTGATTTACAGGAAAAACAAAATGAAATACAACACAATGAACTTAAATGGACTTAAGTACAAAAACAGTTGTTCATTTAATGTTTTCTTTACTTTGAATAAAGCAGTGCAGCTTGTTTAATAATACTTTTTTCTTGTCATGTAATGTTACATAAAACTGTTGTAACTAAAATCACTTAAAAAAAGGAATCTAAACCATGATGTAATATTTGGTGTGAGGTGAGACTTCCATTACTGAAACAAAAAAGAGCAGGACAGACATGCTGTAGGTGGATTAACAAAACTATGACCAAGTACAGGGAGGTGGATAAGTGTGGCTCTTGAGAAGAAACTGAGCCATTTCATGTCATTTCCATAATAATGCTCAGGTAGGAGAACAAACAGATGAAATAGTAAAAGTGGAGGAGAGGGAGGAGGAAGATGTAAAATAGGGAGAAAATCTATGGCAAAAGTAACAATAAGACCGAAAAAAGAGAGGCAAGCTGCTGAATTAGTCAGACGCAGCAAAAGCATATGTGAGGGAGCAATATACTGAGAATTACAGAAAACGTTGGAAGATTAGAGAGGGAGGGAGAGTGCACGTAAGGAAACAGAGGGGGTGTAAATCAGCCTAGCTGTGGTCGACAGCTACTGTCCCTCCGGCTTAGGGTTACCATTTGATTAAAAACAATAGCCATTCTTCATTTAAATGGAATAACAAATCTGGTCTGGCTAGGTGGAAATAAGAGGGGTGGGGTGCCACAAATACACCCAACACAACATAGATGTCCTAAAAATGGTCCATCTTCACTCACAGAGACAGACCTCTATTCATTACTTTCTGGCAGTCATGGTTTTGGAAATGCTGAGCTGCTGCAGTTAGAATAAAAAAGGAGTGGAGTCCCCCCACCCCTTACTCTACAAGGCAGTTTAAAAAGCTAAGGTAACATCTTTTAGCTTTAAAAACTGCTAGCTTTCCTCCATGCTACAAAAGATTAAAATGCATATAATACTAACTTACTTTTTATGTACAGTAGTCCCTCGCTATTTTGCGGTTTGTTTATCGCAGACTTGCTCTATAGCGGCTTTTCAAAGTAAGATTGGACATGACACATGACTGGCTGAATGATGGATGAGTCACACAACTGGAATGGATTTTTTATTTAAAATCAATTATTTTAAATTATTTAGCACCTCCTGTACATTTGTATAGCCCAAAGCTTCGGAAAAAAGCTACCTCTTGCAGCTTTTTGCAGCCCTTACTGCTGCAGGATAAACTTTCTGCAGGAGCTGAACAGCTAATCAGCTGTTCAACATGCAGAGCGGATAAGTGGGTGTGGCCAAGAGCAATTGCAGGCGGCAAAGAGCAGAGGAGGGGGGCTGAGGTGGTGTAGGGGCAGGGCACCCAACTCGGGACACAAAGATCCAGGGTTCAATTCTCGATAATTGAACATCTCGTGGTGTTTCTGAACAGGACACCTTATCCCCAGTTGCTCCTGAGGCACTTTCCATAGCTGCACACTGCTCCACCTGGTGGTGGATGGGTTAAAAGCAGAGAGCCAATTTTGCCATTTTATGGGAACATACAATGATGACAATACCCAAATAGAAAATACCCGCTACCCCAAATACCTGCTACCCAAACAGAAAACCTTGGCTGAATGCAGAGGTGCGCACCCTGCTGGAAGCCAGGAACACTGCCTTCAGGTCTGGAAGTTCAGAGGAGCTGAGTAGGAAAAGGAAACAGCTGGTTGTTGGTATTAAGAAGGCCAAGGCCACATATGCACAGAGGATTGCGGGTCAGTTCATCTCACAAGACCCTCAGTGCATGTGGAGGGGCATTAAGTGCATAACATATTATAAAGGAAGGAGTGAACAATGCCCCAGAGATCCATCTCTGCCTGATGCCCTCAACAAGTTCTATACACGCTTTGAAGACCCCAACAGACCACCCAGCACCAGACTCACTTCACCACCGGATGAAGAGCATCACAGCGTGACCTCAGCCCAAGTAAGGAGTACTTTCAGGAGGATTAATCTGCACAAGGCAACCGGCCCAGACAACATCCCCGGAGAAGTGTAGAAAGAATGTGCCGATCAGCTCTGTGAGGTGCTGGCAGACATCTTTAACTCCTCACTTACTCTTGAGACAGTTCCTACCTGCATGAAGACTGCCACTATCATCCCAGTCCCCAAAAGCTCTAAAGTGACTGGTCTGAATGACTATAGGCCAGTGGCCCTCACCCCGATAGTCGCTAAATGCTTCGAAAAACTGATTATGACTCGCATCAAAACAGCCATCAACATCAACGAGGACCCTCATCAGTATTCATACTGTGAGAACCGATCAAAAGAGGATGTCATGTCCTCTGTGCTCCATACTGCACTCAACCACCTGGAGCGGAAAAACTCTTATGTCAGTATGCTCTTTGTGGATTTCACATCCGCCTTCAGCACGATGATCCCCCAAACCCTGATGGACAAACTATTCACACTAGGACTAAGCCCCTCCATTTGCAACTGGGTACTAGACTTCTTAACAAACAGACCACAGTCAGTGAGGATCCACAAGTTATCCTCCTCCAACATAATCCTCAGCAATGGCTCTCCTCAGGGATGTGTGTTGAGCTCCCTCCTGTTTACTCTGTTCACGTATGATTGTGCAGCTACCCATCCAGGCTGTCACATTTTAAAGTTCGCAGATGATACAGTGGTGGTGGGATGCATCACAAAAAATGATGAGTCCAGCTACAGGCAAGAGGTGGTACACCTGGAGAGCTGGTGCAAAGAGAATAACCTTCACATCAATGTGAAGAAGACAAAGGAGAT